GGAGCTAATGCTTTATTGTAATACTCGTCCACATTTCGCCTCAGAGCCAATTGCTTACAATAATTTACTGCAGGCCCAGGAGGAGGGGTTTACAAAAAGCCCTAGATCTGGAACCTTCTGTGACATAGTGACATGCTGAGCATGCACAAACCTCTGCAAGTACCCCCTCTACCCAGCAAAGATGACACAGGGGTTCTCCCACCTGGAGGGAGATAGAAACATGTAAATCCCAAGAAGCCCAACGGACCATGCTCTAGCCTCCAGGGTAACAAAAAGAAAGTAGCGGGCAGCGGCCTGTCCTGGAGCTTGCGTTTGCGAACTGGATGCCAGACTTCCTGTACTAGGTGAGGAGCAAAGGCAGGCCCGGAGCAGTGTGAGAGCCTGCCTCTCAGTACAGGATAGCCGATAGCTCCAGTTCCGTCCCAAGAAACAGGCACTCCCCTTCCTACCGTGGGTAGAGGCCCAGGTCAGCTCCGTAGGAAGCTGTGTCCCCAGCAGGGATTGTAAACGCAGCGCAGAACCCCGGATCCTGTGCCCTTTAACCTCAGAGCCCCGCCGCCCTGCTCTTGTCTGTCCTGTTGTCCCCAGCTGTTGGCTCCTTCGTTCCTGTTCTCCAGATGGCACAGGAACGGATCTCAGGGACGTTCTGGGAGACACAGGGCTAGAGGGGGAACCGTCAGAGGAACGCCATCTCCTCCGGCGGAGTGCAGAGCTTGGGCAGCTGCTTTCGGCTCAGGGCTGTTCTTTGTGCTCAGGGCTGAGGGTCTCCTCAGACACGCTCTGCATCCCTGTCACCACGTGGAGACGTGGCACATAAAGAGGCGCAGGGAAGGGAATCCTTCTTTGGAATTAGATTCAGATAGTAACAAAGAAAAGCGCATTTAAAATAGGTCCACAGGGATTACTCGTCCACTCACCCCCTCATCTCCAGCTGAGAAGGGCTGCTGGGATGGGGATGGATGAAAGGTGGGATGGTGTTCAGAGGTAAACGGCACTTAGCTCCAAGAGTCCAGATGGAAGCGAGTGCAAGGGACGGAATGGGCAGAACGGAGGCTTGGTGTCTACCTCATTGTGGCCACTCCGCCTTCCTTTCACAGGGAATCTACCAACCATACCATAAAGTTAAATACGTCAGATAGTCTTGTAGGCGCAGCCTTGGTTCCTCTTTAGGAGGCACAGAGAGCTGTCCTGAGTCCCCAGCCCCTCTGCCCCCACCTCTGCCCCCTCTACCCCCCCATAGCACAGGATGCAGCCTTGCGGTGGGGGTGGGGGTGGAGTAAGACTAGGATGGCGCCACCTGCTGGCTGTTGTGTGACTCACATTTATGTGATGATAAGGAAAAAGAAAATCTCCAAGATCTATAGATAGAGTCCTGGTCTATGTGTGTGAGGGCTGGGACAAACTTATAAGCTAAAAATTCATTGTTCATCTGAAAAGTGGTTTGACTGGGCATTTGCATTTTATTTGACGACCTGACCTAAGTCCCTATGTCTTGGACAAAGATGAAATCCAAAGAGGTGAAGGAATTGCTAAAGAAGGGAGAACTATTGAAGGGAGGGGAACAAAACAGAAATGTGCTTGCTATTATGAAATTGCAATGCAAAAGAACAAACAACCCCTAAGAAATTACCACCACTTTTAAATATTGTGTTGAGGCCTGACGGAAAGAATAGAAAGGAGAGACTGGGGCATTAGAAGCTAGAAAGGAGAGACTGAGGCATTAGAAGCTAGAGGAGAGACTGGGGCATTAGAAACTTCAGCACAAGAGATGTCGGATGGTTTTCTTGTTCCCTGCCTGTGTGCAGATGTCGAGTCCTAGACTTGGAGGATGTTTTGAGTCATGGTGCTGGGGATGTTTGGAGAAGAAAAGCAGTCACTGAGGCTTGAAGATCTCAAGTTCAACCTGCCCCACACCACTCTGCTATTCCTTAGAGATAGGTTTAGTCCTTGACATAAACACGTTCTAGACCAGTGCTGTCTTTCTGGAATCCATGGTGATCTCTAGTGCAGCAGAGAGAGTGGCTTAGGACAATGACAAAATCAAGATGCCAGGCTCTTCTGCTTTGCGAGCTCATGGCAACAAGAAGAGTTTATAGACACACTTTGAAAAGACTGAACCTGGGCTCTCTCCAGGGTGAGAACAGCAGCTTAGCCTTTGGGATTAGTGAGACTTCTATGTGAAATTCCTGTCCCCTGTACAGAGCTGCAGTTTGCTGTGGGTAGGACATTTAATGGCAATGTAGATTGCCTTTGCATTCTCTCATTTCTCATGGCTAAGTGCTACCCACCAGTACTATGGGTAGTTTTCTTCTGAGGAGTCTTCGCATTATTTCTATCACATGGTACCACCATTAAAACACAAGGGCCTCAGTTTATTCACGTCCTCACCAACTTTGTTAATTTTTCTGTTTAAAAAAATTAGTTGGGTGGGAAGGTGGCTCAGTGGTAGAGCGCTTGCCTTGCATGCATGAGGCCCTGGGTTCGATTCCTCAAAACCACATAAACAGAAAAAGCTGGAAGTGGCACTGTGGCTCAAGTGGTAGAGTGCTACCTTTGAGCTGAAGAGCTCAGGGACAGCATCCAGGACCAGAGTTCAAGCCCCATGACTGACAAAAATAAATTAATTATCTGAGTGAGGTTGAAGTAGTAGCTCATTATGGTACCTAAGTTCACACACACACACACACACACACACACACACACACAATACATATCAATGGAGGAGCTGTAGTTCAGTGGAGGTGACTTAGCTGTGAGGCTGTCATCTTTATGGAACCCCTGTCTTGTGGTCTTGTGGTTTTATGTCCCTGGACAAACTTCCTCACCTCAGCTCCACTGTTGCTTTCATAAGTCAAGGGCGGAATAACCGTTTTTGCTGGTTGCAGAAGAGCCTGATCTTTGATACAAAATTATATCAGATAGAGCTCAATAAATCCCAAATCTCTGGGTCAATATGAAGAACTATTTCACATCCGTGTTGTTTTAAAACAGTGTCTCACTTTGTTGCTCGGCCTCTTGTGCTGCGATCATAGGTGTGTACTTTCATGTTGGTATTCTGCTCTTGTCTGTGAAAAGGTGTTTGGGTCTTTTTGTTTTGTTTTTCTCTCCAGTACATGAGTTCCTTTTCTGAACATCAGATTCTATGTTTCTGCCCTTGTTATTCCAGTGACCTGAAAACAGGTGCTGCTTCTGCAGGTCATCAGGGGGGACTGTGTGACCCAGTGTTAGTCCCCACAAGCAAGGACTGAACTCTAAATGTGGTGCTTTAGGAAAGCTTCTCTTTCTCCAGGAATTTTAATTTTCTCAACTATGAAATGGCCAAAGCTTTAGAATTCTGAGTTCTCTATCCACTATCCAAAATTTTCTTATTGCACCAAAGCATATTTTTCTGGTAGACATGAGTAGGAAGAAGTCTAAATGGCTTGAGGCTAGTCTGAGCAAGCCATGGGAGACCTGAGTAAAATGATAAATAGAGCAGACAGGGCTGGGACCGCGCTCAGGTGGAAGATCTTGGTCTCCAAGAGTGTGGTCCTGAGTACAAACCCATTGCCAAAAATGATGGATAAAAATAAGCACAGGTCTGGAGATGTAGTTTCATGGGGTAGAGTGCTTGACTGTTGCATGTGATACCCTGGGTTCAGTTCTCCATCCTGGGGGTTAAGGGGTAAAAGATGTATAAATTAAATATTCTCTCAGGGGAAAAAGAAGAAAACTACATGCTTAACAAGTTTGTATGACGTGAATAGTGTTTATAAGCTTGATCATTGGTGAGGGCCTGTTGTCAGCATTAAATACCAGGCAGACAATGTTTTCATAAGCCGCTCAAGGGTTGGCTCCATTGGCAAAGTGCTAGCCAGTGAGCAAAAGAAGCAGTTACCACTTTCAAGTCCCAGTCTCAGACCTAAAGAAGCAGTTACCAAGTTCAAGTCCTAAAAGAAGCAGTTACTGAGTTTGAGTCCCAGTGTCAGACCTAAAAACAAAAAAATGGGGGGAGAAAGAAAGAAAATAAAGAAAGGAAAGAAAGAAGCCTGCTTAAAACCAACTTCTAAAATACTTTTAATTACCAAATCATATTAAGTTCAGTTAGATAATAGAGCATTTACTACACCATCTTACTACGCCCTCTGCTGACCAGGTGCTAGCCTTAAACTCCTCCTCACCCAGCCACTCTGCCCTTGTAGTTGACCATTTGATTCTGCTCCTGTTTTCTTTCAGAGTCACTGCTCATGCAAATGAACAAGAAACCAAGACCTGCCCAAATTCAGGATGGGCCCAAGTTGCTTTACATGCAGATCCAGTCCAAGTCTCCCAAAGAACAGATCCGGCCAATCTCCATCTGTACTTTATTCTACACCTTGCTGTGCAGCTCTCTGGGGAGGGGCCATCCATGGCTTGTGGAAGCTGAAGAGACATCATGGATGATGTCTCTGTAGTTGGCCAAAATGGTCTGTGTGTGTGTGTGTGTGTGTGTGTGTGTGTGTGTGTGTGTGTGTGTATGTTACTGAATCTGGGACCTCATGCATGCTAGGCACATGGTACCACTTGAGACCCGCTCCCAGCCTTTACCTTTCTATTTTGTTTATCTTACTATCATTGCCTGGATTGGCCCCAAACCCCATTTCCTCCTGCCTCTGCCTCCCAACTAGTTGTTACTACAGGTATGTGCCACCATGCTCAAGTGGAAAGAGATTTTTGGAAAGAACAAAATAGTCTCCCCCCAAACCTTGGCCTAACCTAAGTTGGTTTCAGTCCTCTCTGAGCTGAGCTGGGCTTCCCACATCATGATGGACAGGGACACAGAAAAGTGAGAATTTTTCCACTCAATATCGTTCACACACACACACACACACACACACTCAAAGCTGTTATCCAAAACCGACAGAGACTCGGAAAACCTCTCTGGCTCAGTGCTCTGTGATCAAGCTCTCCCCCGGAAGACCAGATGTGGTCCACACGGGGACTGGTGGTTTTATTAAGCTCAGGTGGGCGCTGCCCACCTCCTACACTCTGCAGCAGTGTTTGTAGCGGTTCTTGCACTCGGCAGGCAGGATGGAGCAGCCGTGGGTCCGTTGGTATTTGCAGGCTCCGCCCATTTTCGCACATTCCATGAATCTCTTCCTCTTTCTATGCCCTGTCAGGAAATGGTGCACGTGTGAGGAGACAAAGAACTAGCATCTCAATAAAGCAATGCTACTCGAACCTTGTGTGCGTGGCACGTGGCACGGAAGGGAAGGTCTGTGGGTTAGGGATTGATCGCCGATTGAACCTCTGTAGTCGCGTAAGGCGTAGGTGAGCTGTGATGGCAGAGACCAAATGGCTCTCGGGGCCTGCGTGTCTATGGCCTGCGTGTCTATGACTTGGTTCTGTGTAGAGAAAGCTCCTGGGCACTGTAGTGTGGGATCTTTCCTTTTCTGATGAAGACACGTGGGGTCAGAGAAAGCACCAGGCTTGACTATGACTAGGGGGATGCTTCACCTCCCCAAACACTTTCCCTCTTCTCGACAGGGCAACTCTCAGGCTCTTAGCACCAAGTGAACAAATACCTAAGTGGCAGAGACAGGCTGACTATAGAGCAGGGAGTCGCGTTAGTTCTGCGCCGTGTCCTGCCTCAGAAACAGTGGTGCTGTCCGTTAGTGCCAACACCTCAGCACTAAGCTCACCCCCCAGAGCGCGGGAAGAAAGTGACCACAGACCATGAAGGCTGACCGTAGCCATCTACAGAGCGGTGGGCAGGGGAGAGAACAGGGCTCAGCCCCAGGGAGCGAGTCCGTCTAGCAGACCCTGTGAAACGGCACTGTGCTGCAAGGGACGGAAAGCTGACATGACTAGGGATTAGGGGACTTGGGCTGTGATGTCTGCTCCACCAAAGTATAGTCGTGGACAAGCAGGTCTATCCATCAGAAGTGAGGGTGGGTACATGCGCACATCGATGTCAATCCCATATCTGCAGATAGCTACGCGTATTCACCAGCTATCTATCGTCTGTCGATTGGTCCATTGACCAATCATCTATCTGTATAGCTATTGCCATTTCTCTGTTCAACAAATAGCTGTGACTTTGTTTTCTTGACACAAAGTAGGATTGTCCTCATTAGTTTCCTTCACTAGGTACAGCCATTAGATTCTGAATTCACGTAGTCCGGACAGAAGAGGGGTATCGTGCACAGCTGGTGCCCGCGTTGCTGATGTGAGCGTCCCTAGCACTTTTGCCTGGCAGCAATCAGCAGTGCCCGGCTGGTGGCAGACACAATTGGGTCTGATCAGCGACAAGGAGCAGTGTCCCGATGGCCTAGGGATTTACACCGTGGGCAAGAGCTAAGACCTGGTGCCTTCTAACATGCTAAGTTGGGAATGGTCCTTTCCCTTTCCCATAATTACCAGGGAAAATTTGAGAACAAAGTCCAAATTTCAAAGAAATGAAGAATGATCTTTCAGAAGATTTTATGGATATATATATATATATATAGTAAATTTCTTTTATGGAATTGTCAAGTATATAATAAGAAGCATTTTCTTTGGAATTAAATCACACTGTGCTGTATCTGAGCTTCACCACAATAGTCTGTACCGCTTCAAACTCCTTGCATAACATCTAAGACCCTCCTGTAGATTAGAGGGATGCTGGTGGCTGTGTCATTGTTGCTGGCGTTTTTATTCACAAATGGTTTGTCAGCTGAGAAACCCACTGTAATGTTATCTATTGAGGAACCTAAGCAACTCCATTTTACTGAGGACCCTCAGTTCTGCAACTTACCTCATGACCCACTTTAACCCCAATGCCAGGAATTCATGACAGAAAGCCACGCACAAACAATTCTTAGAGCCATAGATGGCGTTTGCTTACGGCAGGATGTCGAGATATCTGAAATTCCAGAACAGCCCCTCCTAGGGTCTAGTGATCATTATCTAAACCAGAAACACTGCAGTTTAGCAGGTATCCTCTTGAGACCCCCTGTGGTGCAAGCCAACCAGTTTAAAGTACGTCGGCCCCCTTGATCTAACCCACAACCTGTTTCTGGTCCTTTCCCGCTTTGTAATGTGCCAATCATACTATAGAGTTGTTTTATGATTTTCCCATGGTGTGTAGTGATTTGTTACAAGATGCTATAATGTATGCACAGCCCCTGCCTTCCCTAAAAAATGTATAAAAAGTGCTGTAACCCGGGGCTCGGGGCTTCATCTCATCGGCTGCTGCCGTGTATGCGGGGGGACCAAGCTCGAGCTTGCAATAAAGACTCCTTTGCTTTTACATTGGTGACATCTCTGGTGGTCTTTTGGATAAGGATTTCCGAATTCGGCTTTACACTATCACAGTTATGTATGTGTCTTATCACAACAACTAGTTCAAGGCAGCCTTGGGGAAATACTTTTAATCTCTTTAACCTCGACGTATTTGTAAAGTGGGGTGTGTTTGCCTGCTGGGGTCCTTCAGCTGGGGCATGTTCTGTTATTACGTGCTATCGTCACGCCCAGACCCCGAGCCTGGCCTCCTGCGGGCGCCACGGTCAATCAGCACACCTCCCATCTCACCGTGGGTTCAACGCTTACCTGATGCTGTCTGGCTTAGACAAACGAGGAAGAGGAGCAGGAGGAACAGCAGCCTCATGGTGGGGGGTCTTCCCGCCGTAGAAGGCTGGTCACTGTCTGAGGGCAGCTCTTGCTCTAGGGCTCATCAGGAACTCTGGCAAAGTATGGAAAATTCAGCTAGAGAAGAAAAGCTATATGATCAGCACAGGCATTCAAATTAAGGCCTGGTATAATTTGAGAACATGTCATGTGTAGACACATTAGAGGTCCAGGTTTATGACTGACCACCGCCACCCTCCCTCCCCAAAGGAGGGAGAGTTTTAGAGCAATTGGAAATTTCTAATAGATTTGCATATTTACTTATGACTCTGAGAGTATTTTTTTTAAAGAAGCCATTGCATAACGATGATTTGGGAAGGAAATCTTTCATGTATTTGTCCACCCTTACGGCATGCCCTACACCTGGGAGCAATGTGTACAGGAATACAAAACCCCCTTTTCACAAGCTAGAAAAGGATGAAGGACTTCTTATCCAATCCCGCTATTTTTTGTTCCTGCGCATTAGCATGGAGCACACATGCTAGGCAAGCTCAAAACACATAGGTCCCTGAGTGGACCTTAACTGCAGAGACACAAGAGATCAGAAACTGGCTTAATGCAGTGTTGCATCAGTGCATTGGTGGGCTGGGAGGTGGGAGGAGGGAGTTCATAGCACAGAAAACAAGTAAAACACAGACATTCCTCTCTATCCTTTTGATCCTTGTCTTCCATTTTACTGCTCTTTAAAATTTCAGAAAGGAAAGGGAAAGAGGAAAGAAGGGAGGGAAGGAAGGAGAGAGGCAGGGAAGGAAGGAGAGAGGCGGGGAGGGAAGGAAGGATGAAGAGAGCTCAGGAACCCAGGCCTCACTGTTCTCTATCAATGAAACCCTACCTTCATTATCTACACCACAGTTGAGAAGTGAAAGGTAGATGTTGTTTGAGATGCAGAAATCAATAGACCTATCCAAAGTTTGGAGGGGGCTATGGTTTAGGTGGAAGACACAAATGGAACTTAGCCCAGTAATTCAAAGACCTTCATGTGAAATCAGATACACCTGGTTGCAAGTCTTGGTTTTGCCTCTCCTTAGTTGGGTGACCTTGTGCAAATAACTTGAACTTCAAAAGCTCGGGCTCTGCTCTGGTGATGACGATTACACAGCCACTTTCCTACTCTTGCTCTCAGAAAAAGGTGCTTTTCCATATCAGTGGCTGACTAAAGAAAGCCTCTTCAGGGCAAGGCCTATCTAAATCATCACCGAATGGTTTCACTAAGTGGTGAGAAGGGCTTTTTAGGCAATCAGTTCTGGAACTCAAGTAAGAAACATCCTTCTTGACTGCCTGGAACAGCTGTAATTGATAGGTAGGGAAAGGCGAAGTGTGCCTTTGTAAACCCATCACATTGAAAGTTAGTGGTGAAACTTCTGAAAAATTTTGACATCAAGAAAAAATGGTCTTAGAAAAGAACCAGATTTGTAGACACATACCTCATTCTCCTCTAAATATTATGATAGCTTAATAGGTTTGTATCATTTAACAAAATAATGTCGGTTCATTTTTTTAATCATTCAGTAGAGATAATTTCTATGTCTTTTTCTTTGTCAGTTATGGGACTTGAACTCAGGGCCTAAGCAATATCTCTGAGCTCTTTTGCTCAAGGCTAGTTGTTCGATCACTTTGAGCCACAGCACCACTTTGGGTTTTCTGATATTTGGAGATAATCTCAGACTTTCCTGCCCATGCTGGCTTTGAACCAAGATTCTTAGATCTCAGCTTCCTGAGTAGCTAAGCTTACAGGCACAAGTTGCAACACTTCCCTTGATATTATTTCTTAAATACCTAGAAGGTACTGGAATTTTCAAAGCACATATTAATTTATACAATTTACATGGAAAAGGGTACTTTCTAAAGAAAGCCTAGAAAGGCAAGTCATACAGCTAATGCTTGAGCGTGAATGTAAATATTATCTATTGTCAAAGTGTCTTTTTTTTGTTACTGTTCCTCTTGTTGAAAAACAATAGTATTTGAAGAATGAAAGAACATAGCTATAGGACAAAAGACTAGAATGTGCATGAGTGCACACACAAATCTGAGAAACAGAATGGAACATTTAGAGAATGAGTAGGGATGTGTACTAAAGTTTGTCTACTTTTCCCTTTTCTACCAAAAAGGGAAAGAATGAGCAGAGGAACTATGAGCCGGGCTCCTTAAGCAAGTCACCGAGTGATTTATCATCCAAAGACAAATGCATTCTGCAACATAAGGGCTTGTGTTGGTCCTTACAACGAAGCAAGAGACACACACCCACTGAGACTCTTCTAGGAAACAAGAGTACATTGCTATGTTTCCCCTGAGGACTTCCCTCCAAGATTAGTAAGCATGTTTCTGCACTGGGGGTTATGCCAATTTGGAATAGATCATTCTCTCACAACTTTCAGCTATTCCATCCTCAGTCAGTAACTTCCATCAAATGGCCAACACATTGGAAGCGCCTGTGAGCCATGGGGATGGGGATGTCTTACCTTCCAACCTCATCCTCTGCCCATTCTTTTTCCTGGCCCAGCAATAATGGGAGGAGGAGATTGGGGAGTGTCAGCAGTACCTTGTTCCAGTTGCAGCCAAAGCTTCAATTTAGAATGCATCTCTGGTGTTATATGAAGGTTAAACACGCTTTTGTTTTAATTACAGGACCTTCAAAGTATCATCCTGATTCACCAGTGATCCAGACTTCCCAGCCCACACCTCCCCCGTTCCTTCCTGAGACCAAGTCCTGTACCCTCAGTGCATAAATCCAGCATGCTCCTGGAACTTTGTCCTTGCTTCATAGCAGCTTAGGGAGAAAATGTCTTCACTTTTGAACCTTTCAATGAGCCCTTAAATATCTTACACCAGCAGAGATCTATTCTGGCTTTGGATATTGACATAAAGGGAAAGTTTTGGTGTGTGAAATGTGTAAGTAAGTCACATGTATTCAACATAGGAGCTTGAAGGGCTCGCTTCCCCGGCCTCAGCATCAGACCATAATAAACATGATGATGATGACCTTACTAATACCGTGGGTCCATTCAGGTAGCCATAACAAAAATCCCTTAGACTGAGTAATTTATAAATCACAAAAACTGATTTCAGACAGTTCTGAAAATTGGAAATATCAAAGCAGCAGCAACGCTGTTTTCACAGTCACAGTCAATGGCTTCTGGCTTTGTCCAGGGGACACACAGCCTGTTTTACAAGGAAGCGAAGCCCATTCCTGAGGGCTGCTTCACTGAGGAAATATCCCAAGCTCTTAAGACTGTTGCATTGTGAATTAACGTCAACCTATAAATGTGGGGTGGAGTCACACATTCAGACAATAAATAGCAAGTGGTGATTGATGATAATGAGTAGAAAAGAAATGCTGAACACTTTTGCCTGCAAGCCTATCTCCTGTGTCTGTGTGTGAGAGAGAGAAGGGGAGTCTTTTTGATCATCGAGGGCAGGGTCAGGGAAGCATTTTGCCGTCTCTGGCCCATTCTGAATCACTGATACAGTTCCCAAGTCTTACCTTGCAGCTGGGGCCACTGCTCTCCACGGGCTGTCTGCTGCCTGTCCTTTGGGGCAGAGGTAACTGAAAGCCAGTGCCATTATGACACGACTGGGAGTCAGCAACAACAGGCCCAGGTGGGGGAGGAGGCTTTTCAGAAGCCGCTATTGGCAGGAGCCGGACGTGGGTGGCATCAAGCGAGGAAGGGAGAGGAGGAGGGGCCGGTGGAACCCTGTGCCCCCGGGTCTCACTGAACACTGGTAAACGCAATGCGCTGTCGAGGAAGTCCTTGTCTTCAATTTGGGTAGATCTAGCAGGGCGGGGGTGGGGGACCACTAGAGGAAGAAGACCTGAGAGAAAGGATTACTGGACACCTGCCTAATCCTGGGTGAGCCAGGGAACAGGCTCCAGACCCAGTGGGAGGATGTCCTAAGACGGGAGTGTGGGCAGTTCTTCCTGGTGACTCATGAGCTTCCTGAAACATATCGAAAAGCAACTCTGTGCTCTGAAACCCGAAAAAGATCCACCCAGGCGGGAGTTACTAAAAACAAAACAAAAAGCACGTGGGAATGCTATGGTAATTAAATAGGAATCAATTTTATAAAGTACAGTTTACGAGTTAAGAAAAATAAAAGTTTAATGTTCAGGTAAGAATATTATTATAGATATAAACAGAAAACAAAGGTATACTTAATGTGAAATAAAGGCTAAAAATAATGAAATAAGCAAAATAAGAAGAGGGTATCCAGCATACTAGATTAGATTAATATGACACAATGCAATGAGATGAAAAAGTAGACATATACAAAGAAGACTATTGTTATTAACTAACAAGGATTTACAACAGGAAGGAAAAGTGAAAACTGAAAGTGTAAAAAGTAGAATAAAGATTTCAGAAGTCACAGAAAAGCTGAGATATTAGGAAACTGATTTTAAAAAGTAGAGACAGCCAAGGAGTGAGGACTCCAACCCGTGAGGGACTCAAGGCCACAGATTCCTGCTGCTGTCTTTGTGGCTCGCGTGAACCTCAACAGGAGCCCTTCCCACCAGCCAAATGGCCCCCATTTGAACTCAGGGCCTAAGCACTGACCCTGAGTTTTGTGCTAGGTTTGTTTGTTTGTTCAAGGCTAGTACTCAATCACTTGAGCCAAGCTCTACTTCTTGCCAGGAATGTATGAAGAGATTGACTACAGCAGTGAGCACGAGTGTCTGACATGGCATCTTTATAAACCTTTGTCCTCCTCTTCTCCTATCTTGGAAAATGCTTTGACCACACCCTGTGAGCCCGGTCCCAAATATCCACAATAAGCTATTATGGGCCAATACGTGAAATGTAGTGAGCAGAGCCAGGAAGAACAGCACACACTAATAACAGCAAGAGGAATGATAGTAGCAGAAGCCTGGTGCGTAGGGGACAGACGCCCAGGCGCACAGGAAGCCCGCGCAGCCCCGCTCAGGGGGCCCCCAAGTGCTGTGGAAGGGACATGGGGACGTGCTCCATGATTTCACACCTCAGCCTGTGTGAGACACACTGCACGATCACCACCAACACCAGGGGAAGGAAGGAAAGCAGGCGGGCAAGGCTGTGTCTTGGAGCACAGGTTTAATTCGGTCCAGGCTGCATGGCCTGGCTCTGGGAGTTGTTCCTGGCCCTGTGTTCCCCCAGCAGCTTCCCGCTGCTCAGCTCCTCCTCCTGCAGCACCGGACTCCAGGAATTCCACAGGAGCCGATCTGTTGCATTCTTCCACTGCATGTTTTCCAGCATATTCCCTTGTTCCAAAAGCAGCTGAAAGGGTTGCGTATACTTTGACTGAAAGCTAAAAGAGAGAGAAAAAAAAAAGGCAATGAATGTTGGGATTGAACACAGCCTGTCAGGAGACATGGCTGTGTGCACAGCTGTGTGCAGCCTGGCGGCCATCTTTCCCCAGGCTGGGTTGGTCCACCTAGGGATCCAACAAGAGCCCCGCTCCAGACAATCCCTGGCCCTGCCCCTGTTTGAGGGACTTCCCTGTCCACTGCACCCCCAGGACCCTCAGGTGCCAGCTCTGATCTGTGGCTGAGCCCAGGACCTCGCAGGAGCTCCACAAAGGAGCCACCCCACCCAGGGTGGACGCATAGCACCCTGCTTCTCCCGGCACACAGCCCATCCATGCGCGCCCCCCCAGCGGGAACTATGGCTGCTTTTGTATTCTCAGGCATGTGGTCCATGAAGAATCTGAACTGCGGTGGGGGAGAGGGTCAACTCAAAGGAATTGATCGGTAAACTTGATGCCTTAGTAATTTACTTGATGGCTTAGTAATTTGTCACTAAAAACAAAAATAACTGTAAGGTAAATTTTTTAAATATTGCTTTTGTATCTAAATATGTTTTTTAAAAATCTGTCCTTTTGTCAGAGAAGTTGATGTTAGGGAAATGAACCCCAAGGTAAGTATTCAAATGTTTTTTTCTTTCATAAGATTGCTTCTAACATATTTATGAGATGATTTCTTTGTTGCTTTGTATGTCCCTCCTCCACGGTATAACCCCTGTTTTCCCTGTATTTGATGTTGGTATAATTTGTGGAGGGGAAGGAAAAAACCCAAATCGTTTAAATAGGGATACAGGTGGACCCATTGCAACAATGAGATGTACAAGTCGTTATGTTAAAAAACAAACTTTACAACCTTGGTGGGGTGTGGGGGGGGATCGGGTGGGGGCAGGGAGGGAGTATGGGAAGGGATGGGAAAGGGAAAGAGGAGGCAACAATGCTTGACAAGAAATGTACTCATTATCTTGCCCATGTAATTGTAACCCCTCTGTACAGTATTTTCACAATAAAAAAAACAGAGGAAAGATATATATAAAAAAATCTGTCCTTTTTTCCCTCCCTCCCCCTCTCCCTTCTCTTCTGCTCTTCCTCCCTCTTCCTTTCTTCCTTCCTTCCACCCATCCTTTTTTACATCCTGGTTCTTCTCTAAGAGCCAGACGATAAGGAAGTCTCTGGCATCTCTCAGAATGCTATTCTTTCTCTGTAACGTAACACAAACAGAATTGATAAACTGATTCTTCCTCCGCGTGATTTTTCTGACGCATTGTCTCAGTTCTTAGACTAACGTTGTGTCGCTAACCCATCATCTCGCTCTACACGCTTCCTCCCTTCATTTTCCATTCCTGTCGCGTTTTTCATGAAGCGTAAAACAAAGCCTAGGCATGTCCACGCCTGTGCCGGGGCTGAGGCCCGCGGGCGCCCTGTGGAGCGCACTCGGAGACCTTCCGTCAGAACGGCTAAGGACCAGACAGTCAGAAGTACGGTCTGTGCTAGGTGCTCTCTCTGGTTCTCTGGAGCACCCCAGACTTCCGTCGTTTAAGCACAGTGATATGTAAAGTAACTTTTTGCTTTTTGGTCTGTGGGTAAAGTCACCGAGCAGAGGTTTTCCCGAAGCCTCTGCAGGCTTAGCAGGGGCCATGAGGCCGTGGAGGGCACAGCTATAGACTGGCTTAGAAACACTTTGAGTTACACATTGGAGTTCTTAGACTTTTTTTAGTTGGTTCTGTTAAGTAAGTCATATAATCTGCTTGGGCTAAAAAATGTACTTCTACAAAAAGGAGAGGAGAGGGAAGGTGACAGGAGAGAAAGAAGAGGAGAGGGGGGAAGGGACTTGGAGGGAAGGAAAGGGAATGAAGGGAAGGGAAAGGAGAGCAGAAGTGGGGGAAGGAGAAGAGGGAAAGGGAGGGGTGAAGGAGAGGGAGTGGAGAGGTACAGAGAAAGGAGAAAGGCAGAAGGAGGAAAAAGGAGAGAGGAAAACTACAGAAAGAATCAAATAGAACTACTAAAGAAAAGATCTAGAGCCAGTCGCAGGTGGCTCATGCCTATAATCCTAAACTACTCAGGAGACAAATCTGAGCATCATAGTTTGAAGCCAGCTTGGGCAGGAAACTCCATGAAACTCCTACCTCCAATTAACTACCAAAAAGCTGGTAGTGGTGCTGTAGCTCAAGTGGTAGATCACTAGCCTTGAGCAAAACAGCTCAGGGACAGTGCTCAGCCCTGAGTTCAAGCCCCAGGACTGGCACAAAACAAAACAGATAAAAGAACTAGAGAAACAATAGTGTTGAGAGAGAGACAGAGAGAGACAGAGAGAGAGACAGAGACATTGAGACAGAGACAGAGAGACAGAGACATCGAGACAAAGACAGACAGACAGACAGACAGACAGACAGACAGAGACAGAGAGCCCTGTCCTTCCCCTGCCTGTCTTACCCGCAGGAGGCAGCAGGAGCACCAGGAGGAAGGCGAAGAGGAGATAATGGATCCTCATGGCTGGTTGCAGGTGAACTTCTCAAGCAGACTGCAGGCAGTTGACTTCTCCTCCTTTTATATGTCCAGGTGACCTGGCTCTTGGGATACAGTTGGCACTGGCTGCATTTCTCATAATTACAGAGATTAGAAATGGAGCGTTTTGGCTGGTGTGTCATTGGAATGGCTCTTAGAGAGCGACGCACACCCAGTAGGCACATGCAAATTAAAGTGTGTCAACACCAGAGCATTCCTTCATGCCTTGCCACCCGTAACTCCTTCCTGCCCTGCTCCTTGAGGTCTGGGAATTGAGGGACTGAACGGGCTGCTGCAGAGAGTCACAGACTTGGGCCGGGTCCCCCAGAACCCACTTCCCTGCGCTGTCCACACCGTGCCGCGTTCCCTGAGGGTCTGGGGGCTGTCTCAGGCCCAAGCGGGACCTCGGCCATACCACCTCGTCCATACCACCGTGTCCACACCACCGTGTCCATACCTGGCTTGTTTGGCTGCTCCCTTCAGCACGGCTGGATCAAACCCAGAATTGCTAAGGGAGTTGCAGTTTTTTCCAGCTGTGGATGGGGGCCTCCAGCTGTGGATGGGGGCCTCAGCAACTAAAGGAAAATTTGGTTGTGAGCCACTGCTCTTTATTTTACCACCATGTTTTAAAGACCTCTGTTTTCTCCTGGGCAATTTATATATTTTTTTAAGTTGACACATAGTGTGCATATTTATGAGGTATGTGTGATATTTCAATACAGGCATATAATATATAATGACCAGATCAGGGTAATTGGCATATCTAAGCATCTCAGACCTGCCTAAGTTCTTTGTACTGTTAAGACCCACCATCTTCTCTTACAGCTATTTTGAAATCCACAGTACATCACTGTTTCCCACAGGGATCCTGCATGGCCCTGGAGCTTGGGACCTAATCCCATCTCTGCGTCTTTCTTCCCGCTAGCTGACCTCGCTGCGGCCTCCTGCTGCTCCTCCCCCATCACCACGAACATTTTCTGTATCTATGATACCTCCTCAGAGTTGGAGAGTTTCCATCCAAAGAGGAAGCTTTGGACGAACCCAGCAGCTAGAGGGCAGGGTTAGGGCACTGCAGCACCCACAAAGGAACAAATCCTCCAGCTACAACCTCAGGATACCCCAGCCTGGACATGACTTTGTTTCCCTATGTAGTGAGCAGGCCCATATGAAAGAGCATGCTCACTCACTCCAGACATTCAAAGTCACCGAACACTATACATCCTCTGCTGACAGCAGTTCGTTGTTCTTTGATAGTTTGCTGTGTTTATCTCAGCTTTGACCACTAAGAGATGACCATCGTTAGGCAACTCTCTGTCACTGTGACAAAATGTGTCTGAGCTCATTGAGGAGGAAGAGGAAAGGATTATTTTGGCTCTTGGTCTCAGAGGCTTTAGCCCATGGTCCACTGGCTCCATTGTTTTGGGCAGGGAGGAGGTGGGAGAGGAGAGGTGATCACCTAGAGCAACCAGGAAGCAAAAAGGGTCAGGACCAGAGTTTCAGTACTTCCTTGAGGGCTGTGTGCCCAATCTTCCACCCACTAGGCCCCAGCCATAAAAGATTCACCACTTCCCAACCGTGTGTGATTGGAGGGACCAAGCCAGTAGCATCCGGCCCCTGGGAAGCACCTACAACCCAAGCCATAACCATACGACTCTTCACAACACGTCCATCTTGGTATACATGCCTGCATAAATTATAATCATACACCTCGAAACTCATAACCCCTTAACACCATATGGTCTCTAGTCAATATCTTCAGACCGTGAAATTGATTTTTCTCACCCACCTAAAGTAGATTCACACACACCCAGGTCCTTGTGGACACATCTGCTTTGCTAATAAGGAAGATAATCTGCAAATTCTTTCTTTATTTAGAATTAAAGATGTAACAGTCAAATGCACCAAGAAAAGTTCTGAATTAACCACAAATCCTGAAGCCATTTTCTCTCTCCTGGGCCTGCACAACTTTCAGGAAAAAGGCAGTAAAAATAGCACGCACTCATTGTATACATTCACACTGAGCATTAAATTCAGAGTTAAATTCAAACTTACATGAAGCTGATATATTTAAAGAATATAATCCTTTAATAATTTTCTTCATAAGGATTACAACTCTAGACATATCAATTCATTTTTCAGAATAATACATTTCCATGTTTTTCCAGCAATTACCTCAACTGATTCTTCCCCCACCAAAAAAAAAAGCTGCTCAGTGTATGAATTTTGATGACCAAGTAAACAAATTTGCAGAAGGAAAGTTGACCAGAAAAATTGTTTTATCCATTAGGTTACTCCATTACTAGTTATGATTGTTCTTTATGATTCTGACACCAAAAAACATATTCTTTTATAATTTGTAAGATTATGTGGCGATTCTTCTCTATTATCTTCATCATATTTGATAAAGTACAAACATTTTAAATGTAAAAAGCCTTTCTGTCTTTCTATCCTACGGTCTCTAACATCAACTCTTATCCCACTCATTACAATGGCCTCTTCATTTCCTTTTACACCCACCTGGCCCTCTAGTGGCCACTAATGAGGATTATACGTTGAATTCTTCGTCACAAACCTGCCAGGCAGCGATGACTGAACCCTGTAGACGTTCCTTCACGCAATCGCTGCTGCTGCTCTTCTCTCAGACAACCTCTTTATTCTAGCTTCTTACAGAAGAATCTTAGAGTATCAACTTACGGATTCTTCTCCTCTCTATTAATGCCATAGACCTCTTCTATGCACAACTTTAGCTGTATCCCCACACAATTGGATGTTTCGATTTTTCTTTTTGGTCTGTTTGAAATATTTTGTAATTTCCCTTGGACTTCTACTTGAAGCACTGGAAGAGCACTGATTTCTAAATACTCAGGATTTTCTTTTCAGACAGCTTACTGTTATCAATTCCACTGTAAATTCCACTGTGTCTAGACATCCTATTTTGTAAGATTTAATTTTTTTCATTTTCTGGTGATCTTAGTGTAGTGTGGGTTCTAGTGGCATTTTAGTTTTTAATTTATTTATTTTTGAAGTGCTGGAGACTGAGCCTTGTGCAAGGTAGGCACACGATGTACCACTGAACCCTGGTAGTTAATTGGAGATAAGAGCCTCGTGTGCTTTCCTGCTGGGGCTGGCTTCACCCTGCAGTCCTCGGAGCTCAGCCTCCTCGGTAGCTAGGATTACAGGTCTGAGCCACAGGTGCCCAGCTATAAGCCATGGCTTTTTGTTTGTTTTGTTTTGTTTTGTTTTTTACTGAACTGATGAGTCTGACCTTTCCTGAATGTCTACAGTGTGGACAGCCCTCATTCTATCTTATAGAACTGGCACTCATCTCCAACAGTGCTTGCTTTCTCCTGCATTTTATAGTCTAGGCTTGCTGGAAAAGAATCCCTTTAGCTTTCCCATTCGAACGTGACTTCCTCTGTGTTGAAATACACTTTTGTTGGTGTGGAATCCTGGATCCACACATAAGGTAGAGAGCTGGCTTTCCTTTCCTTTCTCCTCTTCTGTTTCTAATGTGTCTTCTCTCAGGTTGAATGTTCTTTATCACTCCTGGAGTTTGGACTCAAGCCTCATCCTGGGCTGGCACCTTACCACTTGAGCCAGGCCTCCAGCCTTGACTGGCATGGGCTATTCTGGGGTTGGCTCTAGCACAATTTTCTGCTTGGACTGTCCTTGCACTGTGACCCTTCTGGTCTCAGCCTTCCGAGTAGCTAAGATCACAGGCGTGAGCCACGGGTACCTGGCTTTCAAGATGATTTCAAGATATTTTTAATCACAGCTTTAAAATAATTTGACTATGATGTGCTAAGGGTTTTTTTTGGTATTTTATTCTGCTTGGATTGGGGGGGATTATGATGGGTTTGTAGTCCCACCAAATTCAAAAAGCCATAGACCATAATTTCTCCCCCTTCCTCCACACCCCTAAACTCACTCATATATTAGCTAAGCTTCAGACTTTCATACAGTCACCCTCCATTTTATTCAGCCTTTTTCTCTCTCCTTGCTTTGTCTTTATTTATGTCAATATAGATGCATACTTACTGGTCTTATCTATAGCACTCAAGATGTCTTAAATGCCCTATTACTATAGTTCAGTGGGTTTTTTATTCAGATATTGTTCTTATCAGAAGTTTCATTTGGTACTTTGTATCTTTCTCCTGTCTCCACATCATGACTAGTTCTTTCCAGCCTTGGCCATGTTTATAAAGTTTGCTAATTGTATTGTCTATTTTACTGAAAAACTTTTCTCCTAGTTGTGAGCTGTATCCTTGTGCATCTCTGTGTACCTGAGAAATTTTCTTAGGATTCTGAATACGAGAAAGCCTTGACTGTTGAGGGATGGATTTACTGTTTCCCTCTGAAGACAGATGGGCTTGTATTCTGGCTCTCGTGTCCGTATCTTACAGGACACGGATAGTTTCAAGAATGGTTTTTAAAACTGATTAGAAGCTAGATGCTGGTGGCTCATATAATCCTAGCTGCTCATGAGGCTGAGATCTCAGGATCTGGGTTCAAAGTTAGCCTAGGCAGGAAAGCCCATGAGACTTTTATCTCCACCAACTACTCAGAAAAGGCCAGAAGTGGCACTATAGCTCACATGGTAGAGTGCTAGCCTTGAGCAAAAGAAGCTCAGAGATAGTGCCCAGGCCCTGAGTTCAAGAGCCAGGACTGGCGCGTGCGCGCGCGCACGCACACACACACACACGCACGCACGCACACACACACACACACACACACACACACACACATACACACTGAATACTCGTTAGAGGATGGGAGGTATGGGTTAGATAGCAGAGCACCTGACAAAGGATGAAAGCAAGCATCAGATACGGAGTTCAAGCCCCAGTCTCTGATAACAACAACAACTGAATAGAATAGCTGCAGATAGTTTTGTCGGGATCTGAAGAGCAGCACCACAGCTACAGTGACTCCACTGTGAAGACACCGAGGCCAGTGGGCTTTGCTGGTGGAAGTGCACCGTGCTCAGCCCCAGGTCCAGACAGCCTCAGCCAACCTCCAGCACCTCCTGGGGTGGCTGTGCTCTCCCTGAACCTTTCTCCATATACCTTTCTCAGTACCCTGAGCCTTTCCTCTGTGCTTGGTCAGTACCCTGAGCCTTTCCTCCATGCTTGGTCAGTACCCTGAGCCTTTCCTCCATGCTTGGTCAGTACCCTGCAGCACTCAGGAGCTGTCTCCCAAGGAATTCATTTTTCTTCTTCTTTTTTTAATTTAAATTTTATTGTAAAGGTGTGCACCGGGGGGTTATTGTGACATTAGTGAGGTAGTGAGGTAGTGAGTGCATTTCTTTTGTAACAGTGCCCTCCTCTCTCCCTTTCTCCCTCCAGGAAGTCTGTTCTCCTCAAGGCTCAGCCGGGCTGCTCTGGGTGGTGTCTTCCTCCAGGTAGCCTGGTCTTTGCTGATCTCGGGTTCTAGTCAGCTCTGCGCTCCCCCAAACCACAGCCCTGTGTTGGTGATTGTCCAGTATCTGAAAATGGCCGTTTCATATCTTTTGTCTGATTCTCTGCTGTGTATGTGAGAAAAATTCAGGGAAACATTTTTGATGGGAGATGAGCTCCTTCAACTTTGGGGCGTTGGGGGGGTCTCCTCCTCTTCCTCACAGCCTGGTGGACTTCTCCTTCTCTTCCTCACAGCCTGGTGGACTTCTCCTCCTCTTCCTCACAGCCTGGTGGACTTCTCCTCCTCTTCCTCACAGCCTGGTGGACCTCTCCTCTTCTTCCTCACTCTCAGTGGCCTCTCCTCTTCCTCATTCTTGATGGCCTCTCCTTCTCTTCCTCATGGCTCAGTGGACCTCTCTTCCCCTTCCTCATGGCTCAGTGGACCTCTCCTCCCCTTCCTCACTCTCAGTGGACCTCTCCTCCTCTTCCTCACTCTCAGTGGACCTCTCCTCCTCTTCCTCACTCTCAGTGGACCTCTCCTCCTCTTCCTCACGGCTCAGTGGACCTCTCCTCCTCTTCCTCATGGCTCAGTGGACCTCTCCTCCTCTTCCTCATGGCTCAGTGGACCTCTCCTCCTCTTTCTCACTCTCAGTGGACCTCTCCTCCTCTTCCTCATGGCTCAGTGGACCTCTCCTCCCCTTCCTCATGGCTCAGTGGACCTCTCCTCCTCTTCCTCACTCTCAGTGGACCTCTTCTCCTCTTCCTCACTCTCAGTGGACCTCTCCTCCTCTTCCTCACTCTCAGTGGACCTCTCCTCCCCTTCCTCACTCTCAGTGGACCTCTCCTCCCCTTCCTCACTCTCAGTGGCCTCTCCTCCCCTTCCTCACGGCTCAGTGGATCTGGCTTGGCCGTTCTTTGACTGGGTGCTGCTGTATAGGAGGACAGGCCCTCTGTCCACTTGCTGGAATCACCCCATATCAACACCAAGAGAGCACTCCAGAAAAGTACAGAAGAGCCAAAGTGTATGCACACCTTTCATTTCAGCAGACACCCAGTAGGCAGCTGGCCGGCTCGGGCACAGCACTCAGCAGTCTACCAGTGACTAAGTCCTTGTTCTTAGACACTGTGCAGCCCAACCTGGAGACTCTCAGTGTGCAACTCTGTACAGGCCCAACCCAGGGAGGATGGGGAGCAGGACCAGAGTCCGGTGGCATGTCAGAGGGAAGATGACTCTGTTTGGGAGCTCAGCTATGTGTCCTAGAAGGAGGTGGACTTAGACTGCCTCTGAGGGCTACAAGGAAGTTGAGATATGAAGCAGGTGGGAGGAGGGAGAATGGAGTCAGCCGTGAGGTCACCAGGGCAGGAGCTGGAGCCCAGGGAAAGCCAAGGAGAGATCCAAGGAGGAGCCACTTCACCCTGCCTGTGAGGAGTGAGATTCCAGAAGGACGTGGGCCGGCTCCCAGGGATGCCTTAAGATTTCAGAGATAAATCTGGGGAGCTATAGATCTGGTAGGAAAACTGGAAAGCTCAAAGGCACGAATGACAAGAAAGCAAAATAATAATAATTCCAGAAAATATTTTAGATATTGAGACAGACAGAGACAGAGGCATAAACAGATATCTGTGTAGACAAATATATAATATGATATATGATATATAGATATTTATACATACCTACATATGTATATATAATATATACATATTTATAGATATCTATATAGTTATTTTTATACATATATATACACACATATATACGTACATTCATGCATATATTCTTGGAAAAGAAGTTTAGGCCTGGTAGCAATTCTGCTTTGTTTAATGAAGAGGAATCATCAGACATCCTTAGCTGTCTATTTGGCAACAACTACCCTGATACTAAGCAGAATATTTGAAAAGATCAAGCTTCTCATTTTTTTAAAAAATCAGTTTTAATCTGTTTGCCCTTTTCCAGGCATGGCGGCCCCCCTCCTGCACCGCGGCCCTTTTCCAGGCATGGCGGCCCCCCTCCTGCACCGCGGCCACGTGCCTGTGACCTCAGTTCTTTTTTCTGCAGCATTTCCGGCCTTTCAGGGAGCAGCGGCCTATCTGCTCCTCCTTTGCCAGGCAGCCCAGGAAAGCACACCGACCGTTTCTTATCTTGCAATAATATCTTCTCATAGTGTTAATGATCCACCCATTACCTGAGAGGAGGAAAGAGAATATGCAAGAGATTTGGGGGAGCCCTCTCATAATCCATCTCTTTACCTTTCTTTTCCTTTAAAATCCCCGCCCCCCCCTCAACACCTTTGCTATACAATCAAGACTAAAGTTAAGACAGGCCTGTGAAGGCACCAGGGAATATCTCTATGGGTGGCTTCGGAAAACCATCTTGGGGAAGCGGCCTGACCTCTGGGCCCTGCCATTGAGAGGGTGGAGGGAGCCGCAGTGGCCGCTGGGGCCTCAGCAGCCCAGGGCCCTCAGCAGCCCGGGGCTCTGCTGGGAACCCACAACCTGCAGCCACAAAGCTTTGCAAAACTGGAGTCTGTGTTGCTGCTGTCGGACGGAACCAATCTTTCCTGCCCAAATTACAATATTACCTCACTTCTTCATGTCCTATGTATAACCTTCCACGGCGAGATGGAGACGAGATACTGAGGGTGTTATTGGTCTCAGAGTGAAACACAAAAGGCTGGCAAGCCTGAATAGTTATTGCCAGAAAAACTAAATAAATAATGGCCATCCTGGCTTCCCACTCAACCACAAATCCACGGGTGGACAGCTCCCCGAGGAAGGGAAAGGGACCGGCTGAGTCATCTCTTCGCTGTCCCTTCAACCCGTGATTTTCCACCCTGCCTTACCTGGAACGGGCACCAAGAACAAGAAGAGCAACACAATTAGGAGATAATGGATCTTCATGGCTGACAGCACGGCCGCGGCTCAGACTGGGCTGGGAGGTGTGTGAGCTCAGCTTTATACCGGGGGAGCGTGGCTGCCGCTCTCATCCTGTCACCAGCATGACCATACCACCTCATTCCTCCTGTGTCATTCTAGGGTTCTCACCCCGCGCCACGCCCATTCCTGGGAGCTCCTTGGGGATGCGTGGGTGTGGGTGCTCCCCGGCTTGGGCTGGTGTCTGGCTGGGGCTGGGGCAGGGGTAGGGGCAGGGTGGGTGTGGGTGCTCCCCGGCTTGGGCTGGTGTCTGGCTGGGGCTGGGGCAGGGGTAGGGGCAGGGTGGGTGTGGG